GCTCAGCCTGCACGTACGACGTGACGTCATGGAACGCGAGCACCAGATTCCATTCCGTTGAAACCGGATCCAGAACCAGGTTTGCTTGAACCTCATGCTAGCAGCAGTTGCTAACGTACGGCGGCGATGCACTGGGCAGAAGCGGTGACGGCGCCGCCGCCGCCGCCGTCGCCTCGGTATGCGCGAGCTCCTCTCCCGCCGTCGCTAAACTGGTCGTAGCACCGCTCGACGCAGAGAATCCTCGGAGGCCGCCGCCGCCGCCGCCACCGCCGCCGCCGCCGCCGCATGAAGCTCGCACGCTCGTCACGCTGGCGCTTAGGACTCTCCGCGCCGCCGTCGCTGCTGGCGCCGCTGCCGCTGCCGTACTAGCTACCAGGGGCGGCGCCGCAGCTGTCAAGGCCGCAAGGCTCTGCGATGTTATCACCGCTCGCATGAAGTTGATGACTGAAGCAGCCGAAGCTTGTACGATCGTCGCAACTGTCGTACACTCCATGGGCTGTGCAGGTGCTGTGGTTATACGACGCCAGGCTAGCGCAGGTGCCGGCTGGCCCACGCCACGTCCGCCACACGACAGCTGCCTGCCGGCGGTGGCGGCGGCACCGCCGCTGACAGTGTAAGTCGATGACAAGGAGGAAGTGCGCACCAGGGAGGGACATCCGCCGCCGCCGCCGCCAAAAGCCGATGTACGGCGCTTGTCTGACGTCATCACCTCCAGCACGTGTCTCGGAAAGACTTCTTCAAGGATGCGGTGCTGTACGGCGGGTGGTCGCGAACCCGCCGTCGTACCATCCATGAAGCATCAAGATCCAGATCCAGGTCCAGGGAAGGTGAGCCGATGAGAGCACGGCCCAAAAGAAAATGGGATCAAAGGCCACACAGTTCGTTTTGAATTTCATTCCGCAAAGCTGGAAGGTACACCATTCAAATCCCAACGGATGCAATAACATTTATACATATCGCTTTGGCTTTTTCATTTGTGACTGCACAACAAAGCTCTCTCACCTCAGCATCTAAGACCTGTCTAACCTCCAGCTCAGCCTGCACGTACGACGTGACGTCATGGAACGCGAGCACCAGATTCCATTCCGTTGAAACCGGATCCAGAACCAGGTTTGCTTGAACCTCATGCTAGCAGCAGTTGCTAACGTACGGCGGCGATGCACTGGGCAGAAGCGGTGACGGCGCCGCCGCCGCCGCCGTCGCCTCGGTATGCGCGAGCTCC